CAGTTTGGATACATTTCCCCTTTATCAATATCTCCATGTGCATAAATAAGATGAAAGTGGCGTTCAGAAATCAAAAGGACACGGAACTCGGATCACCGGGTGGACCCGCTCGGCCTGCGAGTGTGCAGTCTCTCCCACGCAGATTCCTGACGTCCGGCCCCACGTCCTCCTCCCGGACTGACAGCCTTTTAGAGGTTAAAGACAAGAGGGGCGCCTAGGGGCCCAGGTGAACTGACAAATGACGGAACCCAGAGAAAGGATGCTCAGAGGGAAGGGAATGCACACCCATCGGCAAGCTGGGTTCCCTTCCGAGTGGGATCAAAGAGATGGCGGATGATTTCAGTTGGGCTCAGAGCTTTTCCCGAGGGCTCTTTCATGGAATTGAAAACGCAAGCTCTCCACTTCCTGGTTCCTTTGATTTCCTAGACCAAACCGGGAGGCCCCCAAAGCACCTTGTAAACAGGCTACCTGCCGTGAAATGCAAACAGCAACTGGTCCCTGCACACCCTCCCGGGCTTTGGCCGAAGCCCGCCACCTGCAGACACAAAGATGGGAGATGAAGAGAGAGAGCCGCTGAGCCCAGCAGAGTTCAGCTGCTGCCAAGAGGAATGTGGCTCCGGAGGGCTCTGATCGGCCATGGTAGGACATTCTTTTCCCTGCAAGTCAATCAAAAAAGCTTCTAAAGTGCAAGGGGGATGGGAACAAGAAGAAGGACCTGCCTTCAGTGATGCAGACCGACCCCAGAGAACACCAGCGCGGGGCTGAGAGTGAGAGGACGCACACAGAGGCTTGTTGAGACAGTTTCATTGTGTGCCGGAAATCTTGCTCACAAACCCACGATGGGCTCCAAGCCTGCAAGACCCTCTGACATGTGTATTCCAAGCTAGGCAGTTTTCTGTCTCACTCATCCACTCCAGAAAGATGCACGTGACTGTTTCCAGGCCCCGCGGGTGTCCACAAGACAACGTACCGTCAGGGGCAACCACACACTCAGGCGCTGACCGGCCTGCACACAGCAGACCGCCCCTCCATAAGCCCCTAACGCTAGTTCTCTCTGTTCCCACCTCGCCTCTACCTCTGCAGTCCCATTTACAATCAATATTTTAAGTGTGTGCTTAAATGGTATCAATAGCAATTAGAGGGGAATTCTGATTCCACCCCAGATGTAGTTAATTGTTACCACATCGATCTCTAACCAGCTCCTTTCTCCAAATTAAACCTCCATCACAGTGGGATGAAGGGCACCCTTTCCCCTCCCACGACAATAAATTTAATATCGAATGCACTGGGAAAAAAAAAATGGCAGTTGTTGCAGAATCCATCCAAAAAAAGATTTTTTTTTTTCTTCCTGGGAGTAATTAAAAGATGCTTTTCTTGACTAATGATCCCCTGGTTTAGGAATGGGAAGTCAATATGCCTTTGCCGCCGTCAGCTTCGATTGATCTCCGTGCTGTTCAAGTTTGAACGGCAGTTCTCGGGGCAGCTGAGAATCGCTGGAACCAATTATGAGCAGCCCGAAGCTGCCCTAATCAGGGTGCAGGGGACAGACGGCTGGTCAGAGGACCCCGCTTCCCTGCGTCCTGTCACCTGCAGGCCTGGGTGACACCGTGAGAGATGGCTTCAGGTGTTTTTCTTGGAGAAGGGTCTGCCATGTTCTACTTCCCCATGGTTCTGAGCCGGTGTGTGTGTGAAGGATCTGCCGTGTTCTACTTCCCCATGGTCCTGAGTGTGTGTGTGTGTAGGATCTGCCGGGTTCTACTTCCCCATTGTCCTGAGTGTGTGTGTGTGGGGGGGTGTGTGTGTGTGTGTGAAGGATCTGCTGTGTTCTACTCGCCTATGCTCCTGAGCGTGTGTGTGTGTGTCTGTGCGCGCACGTGCACGCGTGCGTGCTGGGGGAGGAACAGCACATTTCTAATTATATGCCACTGTCAGAATGAATCTTCTGAACAAGACAGAATGGACGGAGCTTCTCGGGAAAACAGCTGGGCCCCTTTTCAAAGAATTAGACTGGATATATTGCACTTGGCTTTTCCTCAGATGGAGATAAAAATTTATTAAAATATTTCTTTTTAGTATTACCTTAGGGCCACATTAGTGAGCCCTCCAGCTGTTTGCGCTAGCAAGCACCGCTTTTGCAGAGACAGCGAGGTGGGGCAGGTGGGGGGCGTATCTCTCCTGGTCTTGGGGAGGCAGGGACCAGGCCAGGCATTGCTTCTCACATCACAGATGAAATTCCACGCGGACATTCCAGGCCAAACTTTTTCATTTTCCTTTCTGTTTGAGGAGAATGCAGGAGGTAGCGGAGGAGGTGGGGGTCTGGGTTTTCACGATGCGATTATGTTGAGTGGTTTCTGAGTGTATCTGAGGCTCTCCCTCTGTCCCACCAGGACCACCACCTTCAGACGGGCCTCCTTGCCTGTCTCCGCCTCTTCCTACGATGCTGCTGGCTGCCTCTGGTCCTCCGGGGAACAGGTGGGACATCCATGAACACATGAACAGCCCCAACGGCCCACCCCTGCCCACCCCCAGTGAGAGTGAAAGCCGCTCAGTCATGTCTGACTCTTTGCGACCCCATGGACTATACAGTCCATAGAATTCTCCAGGCCGGAATAGTGGAGTGGGCGGCCTTTCCCTTCCTCCAGGGGAATCTTCCCAACCCAGGGATCGAACCCAGGTCTACTGCCTTGCAGGTGGATTCTTTACCAGCTGAGCCACTAGGGAAGCCCAGCCACCCCCAGAGTTGCTGTCAAAGCACTGCCCCTGGCTCATGAGGTCTTTGCTCCATGGCCTTGCCCTTCCCCATCCCTCACTATATCCATGGCTCCACCTCCCCAGGGGCCCCCAGGCTTCCTTTGGCATTCCTGTCTTTGCCTAAGCCTCCACCACATGCTCCCCACACCACTACGCCTGGAGAATCACCCCATGGTTCCAAGCCCAGCTCAGAAGACATTTCTCCTGAACTTCCCTGAGACCATAGACCCCTCCCGTCTATGAATGCCGCTGGGTCCTGGCATCCTTGGCCGGCTCTGAGCCCATACACCAATCACTGCAGACCTAAGGTCATCACCTGGCGACCACTTCTGTTCTATGAGAAAGCACGCGATGAGTATTCGCTGAGTTTAATTAAAACTACAACTCCAATTACCAAAGGCACAGTCAATTCTCAAACATGCTTTATCTTCTTAAGAGTTGAACAGAATTTAGAAACTCCGAAGTTACGCTGGGCAAGACCACATAACCATACCATCCTCACCATAGGAAGTTCATGACAACGACTCCACTTATGAGAAGGGAAGACTCAAATGTCCGTAAGCTGTAAAGATACAATACGTATAATCTTGCACAGAAGGGGAAGTCATACACTCAGGAACTTAACTAAAACACTCAAGACAGAATAAAATACTCTTACATACAGTCTTCATTTATGAAGACGAAACTATTAAGAAATATTTCCCAGTTAAAAACTTAACCTACATCTTTGTTTCTAATCATTCCAAGCAGTTTCTAGTTATGACAGATGGAAAGACGAACTCTTCTAATTCATGGTATTAAAAATAGTGCATATGCTCCTTTTACATACAAACAGTAAGATGTATAAAGTTAATCTTTTCCCAATTTACTTCAACATTTTCTGCATTCACACATTAAGCTCAATCCAATTTTCAATCATTTTTCTTTTTCGGATCTAATTACCCTCTAGGGAAACTACATGTATGAAAAAATACATATTAAAACATGAACTAATCTTTGAAGAGTGCCCCTAGTGGATGAACCAGTAGATTTCCATATTAGCATTATATCAAAGTCTAAAAACTATAAAGTGCATCACTTCTTCAGTTTGTAGGACAGTTGCCCACAGGGAATATTACACGACATAACTTATGTAGGAGCTCACAGCACTGAGCTGAGAGGTTTTAAACAGAGAGATGTCATGCACCTTTCAAGGACCCCTACCCGCTCTCCACAGAGCATCTAATACAAAGAGTAGGGTTAATGACACCAGCTTCATTCTCTCAAGTGAACCAAAGGGGGCATCCCAAATTCATTTCTCAGCATTGATGAAGCCCACCAACCTGCCATATCATCACTGCTTATTGGTAGAGATTGACTTCTTACCCTTGTGTGCAGCCCACCCACAGACAGACACCCAGGTTTCCTTGTCTGATCACCAGCAAAACACATGAGCACTGGTGCTGGGAGACCCAGCGTCCCCCTTCACCGTGCACACACCTGAGACATGAAGGCTGTGCCCACCCACCACACCTCTGCTTCCGACGCCAGAACATGCCCGCTCAGAACAGCCTCGGAGATGGGACAGTCCACCCTGCCTCCGTGAAAGAGGCTTTCTCAGAAGACACGTCATTTTATCACCTCTTAGGTACATTAAATATGCATGTATACTCAAAAACGGCTTATAATTGCTGTAAATGAAAAATGAGAGACAGAATGGCCTCAAAATAAATGCGTTTTTTTACACTGGGTAACAATTAACACTAATGAGGAGCCACCGCATGTTACGTATGCTGTGCTTGGTTGATTAAATGTGTTAGGGATATAGTTTAGAAAATAAAATATGTTTGGTTACTATCAACTCACTTAGTGAGAGGTCAGAGGGGAGTGGAGCCAATGGAATAGATGCTTATTAAAGACATAAGAATAACAAAATCCAAAGAATCCCAAATTCCGTAATTAGTGTTAACAGCACAGCTTATGCCTATTAGAAATGTATTAATTAAAGTGATATATTCATCAGGTTAGAAGCTTAATACGTCTCTAAGAGAGGGAGAGGAATCCCCAAAGTGTAAAAACAAACGTAAAAAATTAAGGAGCTTGAATTATCTGTGCCTGCGGAAGACCGATTTTAAACACAGACATTTCGGGCTGGGTTATCAGCCTTCCCACGGGTGGCCGGGGCGGTTCTCGTGGTGGCTGTCGCTAAGGTCACTCCCGGTTCTGTTGAGCAGTAAGCCGCGTGAGCACCCGCCTCCCCGCACCCCTACCTTGTGGAGTCCAGCGAGGGCTTCGTCCGCCCCTGGGTGCTCTCCTCCCAGACGCTGTTGGCCAGCTCGTTCCCGATGGACGACATCACCTTGATGAGCTCAATGGGCCAGTCGTCGAGGTCCAGAGACCGGACTCGAGAGAGGTGGGTGCCGAGATTCCGGTGGATCCCTGAGCACTCGATACACATGAGGGCTCCCAAGTTCAGACTGGCCCAGTTGGGATCTGCGGGCGGAGAAAGGGGATGCCAGATGTGATCGGACTGTCATCACTCACTCCCAAGGCCCTTGGATCTCAAGAGCGAAATGGCTAACCAGACTTCCCACTTCAGCAGTCCCTCCTTGGAGTCAGGGCCTTAAACATGCTCCCTTGAACACCACCTGCAACTGTCTTAGGCATCTCAGGAGGTCTGATGTGATGGCGGCAACTTTTTAAACATCTAAGGCTCTGGCCAAAGCCTTAGAATTTCCCACACAATATACAACTGAAAGCATTGGTTTGGAGAGAAAAATGCACGTTTGGGTACTTCCACAGGCTTTCCTGGTGGCTCAGATGGTAAAGAACCAGCCTACAGTGTAGGAGACCCAGGTTCAATCCCTGGGTCGGGAGGATCCCCTGGAGAAGGAAATGGCAACCCACTCCAGTATCCTTGCCTGGAGAATCCCATGGACAGAGGAGCTTCGTGGGCTACAGTCCAGGGGTCGCAGAGCGTCAGACACGACTCAACGACTAACACACCTAGTGGGCAAACCCCTTGAGCAAGCAGACGCACAGGGAAACGAAATGAGGCATGACCTGGTGTCTCTTGTGGGATGGCTGCTGATGCAGGGAAAGAGAAGGAAAGAGAGGGACAGCTGGTCATTCCCAAAGCTACAATGCCCCCGGCACCCTCCTGCATCAGGGGCACATCAATGTTCTTAGTGACATGGTGGGCATGCTTGCAAATTTCAAAGATGAAAGCGAGGCACACCACAATGAGAAAGTCTGACTCTCAGTGATCTTATTTAGGGATAACCAGCCAAGCAGTTCCCATTTCTCCATCCTTCACTGCTGGCAAGATGGTTAGGTTTTGGCTCAGCACAGTCAACCCCGACTTGCAGAACAAATCGGAACAGGCTTTGGGCTGTGACACTGCACACAGACATCACATGAGTCCAGGGAACAGCCCTGGGGCGCCTGGTGTGGAACCGCTGACCTGGTCAGAAGCCTGAGGACTCAGGCTTAGGGCTGGCTTCATGCTAGAATCACTAGCTGATTTCCAAAGAGGGGGCTGACCTTGACTGTCAATGGCTTTCACCACTGACAGAAGCAAATAAGGCTTAAATCATCCAGGAATAATCAATACCTTACTCCAGGTAGACTTGAAGAGTCAGGTAACTGACATCATATTTATTTGGAATCATTCTATAAATGGCAAATGACCAGGAGTGACTTCACGCTAATTCAACAGAAATCAGCCAGCCATTTGTTTAACATTTAACATAGCAAGGCAGGAAGCAGGTGGAGGAGATCATGGGGTGGCAGGAGAAGGGGGAGACACACGAGAAGAGGGGTCTGTGACCTCAGAGATGGTCTTGGTTGGGGAAAAAGAAACGAATGCCTACAAATATAATAATAATGATAACACATAAAAAGCCAAATGGCTTTGCCACTGTGTCATCTCTCATGCCCTTGACCTCAGTCCTTCTGTCTTCCCTGTGTCTTCTGAGAAAACACAGTGCGGTCTTAGATTAAATCCTGCTCCATGACTGGCTCTTTTGGTGACCTGGGATGTCTAACTTGACCCTTCAGACTGTTCATGTCCCTCTAGGAGTGGGACCCACTGCAGTGCCAACAATTAGTCACCAGAATTAAGAGAGACCGTGCCTGGAGGGATTGGACAAAGACCTGAGAGATAACGTCATTTTAGAAATGGAAGCTTAGGATCGCTCTTCTCTCCACATTTGTCAAATGTGGCCTCACTCCAAACAAACGGGCCCCGGAGCCTCCCCTGAACCAGTCTCCCCTTCCCACTCACCCTCCCCAGACTGGGCACTCGCCCGCCCAGCCCACTCCCAGAAAACACTCTCGCCCTCCAACTGGCCACACACCGTGAAGCCAGTGAGCCACGGAATATTCCCTTTAAAGGGGGTCTTCCAGATGGTGGTGGAAACCATCACGGACATGTCTCCCCATGGAGGTTCTGAGAGTACTCAGATAAGAACACACTCCACATGATGACTTCTCTTCTAACTTCATGGCATGACGTTGCTTGAAAGTAAAATTTAAAATTTTAAACAGAAGAAGGTGCTTTAAAGAAGTCCCTCCAGGAACGTGCAGAAGAGACCTCTTCTGTCTCCCGGAGGTCACAGACTTGGCCTCACCGTCCTGGTCTTAGCTGCCCCACCAGCTGGGGTGGTCTCTCCCAGGTGGGCTCCCCCCTTCTCTTTGATGCGTGACAGTCCTGAGTTCTTTCTGTTAAGTCATCCCAATCCCATCTGAGCAGCAGCTGGCCTCTCCCTGAACAAACCAGAGCCACCCAGCCATGCGTCCTGCTGCCGCCCTGACTCCCAGCGCCTCCCTCCCCACCTCCGGTCCAGCCCACTTTCTGCACCAAGTCTGCACGGGGTGTCCCCTGGGTGTTGGATACGGCACAGAATGTGGGCAGCTGATAGAAGCCCTAGCACCGGTGGTGTGCTGTGACTGTAGCTCATGCGGTTTCCAAGAGGCATCAGCAGGACTGGTGATAAGCCAGAATGGAAAAGAACATGCAGAAGCATACACACAGGGACAACTGAGTCACTCTGCAGAAATTAACACAACACTGTAAATCAACTACACTTCATGTAATCAAAGAAAAAAAGAGAGAGAGAGAGAAAAATACTTATGGTGCCATCAGAGAGGCTTCTGTGAGAAGGGCACTGTGTTAAAGTCCAAACATTTCAAGGCCTTCCACGCCATTAAATCACATAATGCACCTCATACACCGGATGACAGACATGGGTCTGCAGCAGCGTGGGCTGCGTGCGACCACCCCACCCCACCCCACTCTGTCCAGGGCGAAGCCTCCCGTCCTTGCGCATACTCACTCTGGGTCTCGCAGTCCACGCAGTGGGAGTTCCCACGGATGTTCCGTATCGACTGCAAGGCCATGGCCTCACTCTGGCTGGTCAGCCGGGACTGGGCACAGAGGGAGACATATAAACGGAAGCCGTGAGAACCCCGAGGTAAGTGTGCATGACTGCTAGTAACACCCGGGAACCATCGATGGATCGTGAGTAGACATAACACGAGGTTAGGTTCAAAAACGGGACTCCTCTCTAGATGTCTTTGGGCTTCCCAAGTGGGGCTGGAGGGAAAGAACCTGCTTGCCAATGCAGGAGATGTAAGAGATGTGGGGGTTCGATCCCTGGGTCAGGAAGATCCCCTGGAGGGGGAAGTGGCAACCCACTCCAGGATTGCTGCCTGGGAGGTTCATGGACAGAGGAGCCTGGCGGGCTACAGTCCACAGGGCTGCAAAGAGTCGGACACGACGGAGCGGCTGAGCCCAGCACACTGGCTGTCTCTGGGATGGGGCCCCGCTGATAGAAAACGCGTCAGCAGCATGTGGTGAGATGCCTCAGATGAGAGACTTGGTGCCCAAGACAGGTCTGGTGGTTCCTTGTCAGGAGACCACACCCCCATCACACTGCGCCTTGGAGACTCACTTCCCATTTCCGGTTCGGCCAGTTGTCACAGCAACAAGGCCACCGTGCAGTGGGGGGGTGGAGGGGGGTGGAGAGGACTGCGGGTGGCTGGGGGCATTTATACTTCAACACATACTTAATCGTCTTTTCTGAGAAAGTCAGAAAATACAAAGGGGGAAAAAGAACAACATAAAAATGAGAAACTATCAGAGTTAAGTTTTATTAATAATTTGATATCTATTCTTCTAGACTTCCTTTGAAAAAAGTACATATATATAGAGAGAAGCACTTTAAAAAAAAAAACCCAGCACAGTATATGTTACTTTGGAACCTGTCTAATGACATAGCATCATCTCTCAATGGCATCACATAACCTCTAGCATCATTTTAATTCATTTATTTATTGATGTGATGGGTATTCAAAAGTTTTATTTTTTATATTTTAAAATTTGATTTTGGATGTTACTGATTTTCAGTCTTTCGGTACGAAGACTTCTTAGAGAAAGTGTCATAATAACTCTGGCATCATTTTAAATGACTGCATAATATTCCACTTATGATGACTTATTTATGAAGCTTTCTTTGAGGGGCATTCAGGCTGTTTACAGCTTTCCTCTACTATCAAGAGCACTGTGAAGGGTATGTTTACTGCTGAAACTTTACACGCATTCACGATTATTTACTAAGGATGAATTTTTCAAAATGGAGGTGGCCAGTAAAAGGGTGTACCTTGTAAGGATTTTAAGGCTTATGATGGACACCTTTAATATAATGGTCAAAGCCAAATAGATCCCAGAGGACACTTGGAATAAGCTTGATGTTTGTGTAAAAGTTATTCATAAATTGAAGCATCATTATGTCAAATTGTTTGCTGTTAAATAATTGATACCTGACCACTTAATCACTAACTACAATTTATTAAGTGCTACCATTAGAGTAGCATAATACATCATTAGGGTTTTATTCCCTTTGCTTAGATGCCCAAATATTCAAAGTGTGTTGAACAATTCCTGTTGGCATCTGGAGTGAGTGTGTGTGTGTGTGTGTGTGTGTGTGTGCACGCACGCACGCACGCACACACATGTGACTGCCTCTGTTTACCTTTATAACCTCTTGGATTGCCACAAACTGGTTATCCACGGGCAGCTAGAATACCTCACAGCCCATTCTTTTCCCTCCAGCTGTTCCTTGTGGGTATTATTTCCATGTTGTGCACCTGCATGCCTGGTCAGCAAATGCCCAAGGTGAACGGGTATGGGTCTGCCTTCCTTTGTGCCCAGCGAGCCCTCCTTCCAGGAGCGGTGCCTGCCTGAGAAGGCACACCTCCAGGGAGAGAGGAAGGGCAGCATCTCAAGGCTGGTGTGTGCATCAGGCCCAAAGGTGATGCTGGCCATGTTCACAGAGCAGGGAGCTGGGAGGAGACCGGCAAGGGTGTGAATCAGAAGAGGCCAGCGCTGTCCTCCACCTTCCTGAGTCCGATCACCTGGTGTGGGTTCAGAATCTGACTTGAGCTACTGTGATTTTTATGCAAAATTTGGAGATGCATTTTGTCTGTTCAGCCAATTCCTGTTCTGAAACCGGGTTCCTGAGCTTTATGGGTGACATGTATCTTTGGTCCCCACTGACAGGAGACTCAGAAGCATCCTGAGTTTGCTTCAGAAGCCACATCTGTGACCAGGACTTAGTAAAGCCAAGGTGCTCAAAAATGAAAGGCCCCGACTCTCCCCACTGTGGGTATAAAACTTCTCTTAAAAAGAGAGGCAAATTACATTATAATAATAATGACTGTGGTCTGGTTTACCCTGGTTAAAGAGGGTAATAAAAATAGATACTCCATCTTTCTGAAAGACAGACTCCCTTCTTAATGACAAAACTGAACATAAGTCATTGGCAGAAATTTCTTTAAATGGTTACAAATGAAATTGCAGGTTGAGAGGCCATGCTCTTTCTACTGGTTTGTAGTTGTTCACAGTCTAAAAAATAAAAATGCTCCTTAAGACGTTAGTGTCCCAGTGAAGGGGTTTAAAATATTCAAGCATAAAAATAATGATTTTTGAAGGAATATTCTGATTGGAAAAAGAAAATGAGAAAAACGACCTTTGTATAAGGACTATTATGGGGCAGTAATTCAGAAAATGCAGGTTAAAATCTATTTCTCCTGGCTAAACAAATGCAAAGGAATTAACGCTAATTGAATAAAGATGCTTATCAGGCTTCATCAACGGAATTTAAAAAACAGACTTTTACCTTCCCTGAACTCTCTGCACACTCATATACTGCATATACTTTTTATTGAAGCCAGTACCAAGGGACAGTTTCCTAACCTGAGATGGATTTGAACTGGGCGGGGGACATTTGTGAGAATGGAACAGGGCTTCTTTTTAAACCAGCGCTTCTTTTCCTGAGGGTATTCTGCCTAAAAACAACAAAAACGGATGTGGACACATAAGCCACAAGGATCCAAAAGATTCCATCCTCTACAATCAAAGGTCAATACTTTACATTTGGGATGACTCTGGGAGAGAAAAGACTTAAAACAGGATACTCTGCCATCCGGTTGACCTAAGATACTAATATATGATAAAGGATACGCATCAACAATGCTTTATTATCTTCGTGATCATCTCCCTTTCTGCTTGGAAAAAGTGAATGTTCTGTGGCCATCTCACAGCCTCACAGGATGCACACCCCCCACCGCCCCCGCCTGTTTCCCTTTCAGGGTCAGTGGCTCCTGATTTGGGGGCTGGGGGCCTGGGGGCGGCTGCTCCGGGTCTTACCTTGTTCTTGCTGCTCTCGCATGACTGCAGGCTGGCGAGGATTTGGCTCTCAATGGCCTGGACCCACGCGTCTCGCTCCTCGTATGTGGTGGCTTCAAAGTGCCATGTCTGGCCAGTGAGGGACACAATGATAAACTCAAAGTTTTCTTCTTGCTCTGAAACACAGCAGAGTGGTGGGGATGAAGAGTTTAGCTTTCATGAGACCGAGGCCCCTCTGCCAAGTCCCCGGTCATGAAAGGGCCTTTGGGTTCAATCGCGCCTGCATGGGGCCGCAGGCACACACAGGACCGGCCGCCCCGCCGCGGAGATCTGAACCCGCACACCTCCAAACACTCTGGATTCGGTTCCTAAAGCCAGCGTGGCTTAGCTGGGTTTCAATCAATGCTCAGGGGAGGAGGAAAAAGGAAAACCAGCGTGTGATGTCAGCACCTCTGTGCTGGGCACAGATGAAGCGACTCAGGGATATTGTATTGTAACTCGTGTTCTTGCTATTGTAAGTCGGTGCTGGGCTCTGAAATTGACAGCGGGCTGAAAATCAAGTGAACCCTACTCATCTCAGGGTGCAATTTAATTTCCTTATAAGCCCCTGGCCCCGATCCACAGATAACACCAGAGCAAAGACGGAGGCCTCGAGGGCGTCTGTCATTTCAGGGCAGAAGACCAGGTACGGTGGGGAGACTCAGTGTGACAAGCGAGCCAAATACCAGGTGATCTGAAGGGGCACCTTGCGGACCAGGAAGAGGGGCCCCGATGTTCAAAATCCTGCCCCACCAGCTGGCACACCGGAGCCTGGACGAGTTCTCAGCCATCCTAGGCTCATTTCCTCACCCTTACGGGGGCAATCCACCTTCTTTAGCGCGTTTTCCACCAGCTAAATGATGTGCACAGCTCAGGCCCACAAGGGTCTGGGCCAGCAGACACCCCCCACGGCCGCTGGTGCACGCTGCTCTCATCTACCCTCCTGCCTCGGACACAAAACAAAAGGCAGAGGAGGTGCTGGGCGGAGACGGGGAGCCAGCTGCCGGGAACCGTGAAGACGCCTGCACGTGGAGTTCCAGGCGCCACGTCCCGGACAATCGCTGGTTGCCCGTCACTGGCTGCGGGACGGCGCGGGGTCACCATCTCCCGGGCGAGCGATCGTTATCAATAATGCAAATGACCCAGCGCCCACCTGGCGGACTGCTGCTCTAGTCTCTTGCCTGTCACCCACACATGACCTTTCTGCTCACATCTGACAAACCTCTGTCTGCCACGCTCCTGGCCCCTTCAGCCTGTGTCCCAGGCACCCCTCATGGCCTCTGACCTCTGAGGGTCCCGCACTGCCCGGGCCGGCCCCGCCCCTTCTCAAGGTCCCGCCTCACTGGGAGCCCTTCAGCCTCTGAGACAAGGATGCTCCCTGGGCCTCGGAAGCACCTGCAACCACTTGCAGGCCCCTCACCACCTCCCCTTTGGTCTCAGAAGAGAAGCAGCTCTTACTCCTGTGACTGAGAGACCCTCTCATCTGACCTCACTGATCCCGGGCAGGTGGGGACCAAACGCTTGTGTCTCTGTCCTGGGGCCAGGGGACAGCTCCCCTAAACAAACACCGACTGCCATGGAAACAGGCCCGCGCCACCTTTTCACGGAGTCTTTATGTATTCTGAGGACAACAGTATCACGTTCTACGCAACATCAGCATCGCTGCTCTTTCAGAGTTTAACCTGCTGGTGGGGGAGGCCTGAGTCCACGGATCCTGCTCTGAGCAGCTGGTGAAGGCGGGTCAGGGCTTCTCCCACCAGCGCACCAGCCTCATTGGGTCATGTTTCTCCCACAAGAGGGCCCATGACTCCCACCAGCTTCTCACACGTCTGTGACCTTCCCTCCTGGCAACTGTTCAGAGCTCCTGTGATAAGGGTGCTTTGTGGGGGTACAGAAAAGCGCTGGGGGGAAAGGAGCAGGTTGCAGGCCTACCCCATGAAAGGGGCCAAACTGGGCATCATATGGAGCAGACCCAGGACAGCTCAGTGAACGGCTGAACGAGAGGGTCCATGAAGTGGGGGGGGAAGGGCAGCTGGGATGCCACTGGACATCCAGAGCCAGGAAAACTCTCTTCCAAGAGCCAGAGTGGAATAAAAATATTTTCATATAAAAACTGAAAGAGCCAATGACCAAGCACCCTTCCCTAATGGAACTGTAGAATTTGGAAGATTCTACAAAGAAAGTTTGAGCCAGATGGGTTGGTGAGCAAAGGAATAGATATATATGTAGATACATCTAAACAAAAACTCTACCAAATGCTGATTCTCTTATCATGTCTAATTTGGGGAAAGTACCCAGTTCTAGAGAAATTAAAGTGGAGATGGGGACCCAGGAGTGAAAACGCCCTAGGATTTTTTGCACTGTTGCCCAGGAGAGTTAAGGACTAACTTTAGACCTCGGTAAATTATGTACACGTGAGAAAATACCAGGGTTCACCTCTATGAGAAAAGAAATATGTATGACTTCATGACATGAAGCATGTATGACTCCCTAACAAAGATGACAGAAATTTAAAATATGGTTAAATTCTTTTATCAAACTAGGAATAGAAGGGAATCCTCTTTCCATGGACAAAGAGTAGCTATGCAAACCCAAAGAACATTATTCTTAAGGATGAAATGTCAGAAGCAATCATTTCACATCAGTTAAAGGAAACCCCAAAGAATCTACAAATGGTGAGAAATAATACTCACAGTTAGTAAATGGGCAAGATAGATGACCAATATAATGAAACGTTCATTGCATTTTTGTATACAAGGATTTAACAGAAATCACATTTAGATGTACCTGTTTATAAATTCATTTCTTTTCATCTGGGAGGGAGGGAAGGAGAGATACAAAGAAATGTGAATGAGCCAAACAGTTCCCTAAAAGCCACAATACGGAGGGTGACTTGGAACTTGTAGTCAGTGTTAGCTGGTGGGAGAGAGAGAACCTCACACCGCATTAAGGTGATAAATTGACTCAAGAGCGTGCGTGGCCAGAGAGGTGTCACTCGTCTTTGGAAGATGAAAGCCTGGGTGGTCCACTAATGATAATGCAACACCAGAAAGGCTCAAAAGAGCAAATGGAAGCAGGGCGTCCCCTGCCCCCAGCCTGGTTGACAGCAGTTCATGAGAAAAGGCTGGGACTGGAAAGGTGAGCCGCGGGAACATGCCTGGATGACTCTGGAAAGCAAAACCGTGTTTCATGTCCTAATTGAGAACCCACTGCGCAAACACCCCAAACTCGATTCATCTGACACAGTGTCCTCCTGAGAGGGGGAGTCCGGCAGGGTGACTGTCAAGCCAGAAAGGCACACAATTAATTACATGAACAATGAACATGTGAATCAGAGCCCACCGTCCCAATACTTCGGTGACCGAGAGAGACGCAGCCATCAGCGGTAGTGGCTGTGACCGTCCGTGAGTGTGTTGTGATTCTAGGGTATCAAGCACGTACTCAGGCCCCTCTCAGCCATGGGCAGGTATGTGTCGGGACTTGTGGTCAAGGCATTTCAACCCATAGTAGCTCACTTTGGTAGCGAAACGCTGACCAAACGTTCTTATGTGAATTTTTTCTTGTTTTAACCAAATGGCTTGGCCTCGCCCTGGAGAGGCAAGGGGACGCTCCTTTAAGTTTTGTCTATGGGGGATCAGGCCACAGCTCTGGAACAAAGACGCCTCAGGTGGTGCCTCTGTTGTTGGGCTGGCCTCTCCCCAGCAGACCACACTCAGAGGCTCCTTGCTGAGCTGCGGATGTGGACATCTGGGCTACCTGGAGGACGGGGCCCAACTCAGCGCTGGGAAGGCGGGGAGGAGGACGGGATGGACCACCCCCATGCCATCTCAGTGCAGCGGCAGCCCACGGGGGGGCTACTCCCAGCCTTCTTTTGGATTTCAGGCCCTGGTGAAGATGTCTTTATACAGAGTTGGTCAGCTAGGTGACTCACTTCCTGAGGAAGGGGTTAAATCTGTGCACAGAGTTTAGTTGCAATCACTCTACAGCAGCAGCATCCATGGACCCCAGCTTCTGCTGACGGCTTCGTGTGTTTCCCTGGATACTGCTGGCATGCAGCTGTTTTTCTTTTTGAGGGAGGTTAATATGTTGAAAGTTGCTCAGTCGTGCCCAACTCTTTGCGACCCCATGGACTGTAGCCCACTAGGCTCCTCTGTCCATGGAATTCTCCAGGCCAAAATACTGGAGTGGGTAGCCAATGCCTTCTCCAGGGGATCTTCCTGCCCCAGATATCAAACTGGGGTCTCTTGCATTGCAGGTGAATTCTTTACCAGCTGAGCTACCACAGAAGCCCAGTATGTTAACTTCCCTGATGGAGCAGTAATAAAGAATCCACTGGCCAATGCAGCAGATGTGGGCTCAATCCCTGGGTTGGGAAGATCCCCTGGAGAAGGAAATGGCAACAACCCACTCCAGTACTTTTGCCTGGGAAATCCCATGGACAGAGGAGCATGGCAGGCTACAGTCCATGGGGTCGAAAATGGGTCAGACACGACTTAGCAACTAAACAACAACAATATGTTAACACTTACAGATACAGTTAAGAGTTTTCAGAACTGAATTAGATCTGCATTATGACTTTCTTTTGTCTCCCAAGATTAAAAAAAAAGTAAGAAAAAGGATTATAGAACAGTTACATTTTAAATCATGCTACATATGACTTCCATGAAGGAATACTTGTTTCTTTGTAATGAATCTACTGCATGGAATAATAAATATGAAAACAATGCTATTGGGCTCCAAGTTTGTGTCAGGAAAAATGCTAGGACTTTCTTGGCATCATCTCATTTACTCTGATCACTTTCTTCTCTCAAGGTGGCCAGCACTGCTTTGTTTCTTAAGAATGAACAAGCATTAAAAAAATTTCTGCTAGGGTGTCCAGTGGGAGGTGGAGGGGGTCTCCCCACTTCCAACTGAATTTTTCTGTTATTTTTCCCTCACTCCTGATGGCAGAACATGGTAATGAGCTCTTTTAAAGGTAATTTTCCCAGAAACTCCTGGTTACTAGGTGCCATATTTCTCTTTTTTGTATTTTAAAATTGTTATTATATTTAAAATTTTTTGACTGCACTGCTTGGCATGCGGGGTCCCAGTTCTCCCCTACCCACGCCAGGATCAAACCTGTGTCCTTGTCTTGGAA